GGTGGGGCCGCGTCTAACGGGTGGGGCGGCGGTTACACCTAGCCCGCGCCATTTTCAATCCCCCCAATTGCAAAAGGTTTGTCGCCACCTCTGGGGGTGGGGGGCAAAACTGAACAGTAACATGGCAGATTAGTGGTCTATATGCACTGACGCGTCAGCAGCATTCCGATTTTTTTGGAGAGACAGTATCAGGACTGGACGCGAAAATGATGTGTAGGTTTGGGTCAGGAATCCGCCACACACGTGGAGGGCAAATCCGTCCTGTCAGCACTCACAGCTAGGTGCTGACTCACTGCACAAATATCCCACGGGCAAGTGGCAAAATCGCGGCTCGGTACCGTTTTTTGAAATTAGCGCGGGCTAGGTGTACGACGGTGGGAAACGGGTGGGGGGACGGGTCGCTGGTGCGCGCGGCTGCTGCTGTGCGTGCGTGCGACTAACGACGGGGCCGCGGGGCCCGCTAGCGAAGGGGCCTCTGGGCCCACGAACGAAGGGCCGCGGGGCCCGCTAACGAAAGGCCGCGGGGCCCGTTAACTAACAGCCGCGACGGGTGACGGGCGACGGGAAAAAAAGGGGAAAACGGCCGCGATCGACGGGGGGAAACGGGCGACGGGCGACTGGCGACGCGGGGGGGGGGGGGGGGGTCTACGGGCGACGGGGCCTAAGGTAAGCGCGATACGGGCGGTCTAGGACGGGGCGCGACTAGGTGGGCCCATGATAGTCGAGTGATTTTTCCTAAGGGGAAAATCTCGCTAGGGTTAACCTAGCTCTGATACCATGTCACAATGTAAAATTGACTAAAACAGAAAGTACAAACAAGATATGTGTAAAACCTAACCCTAGTGCAAGTACAAAATAACACAAGGGAGAACACCTAGACTAGAACTACACAAGCTATAGAAATATAGTTTGACAGTTCGAGATGTAGCGTACAGATCCCACCATGTGCTGGCCGCAGCAGCTGTCCAGGTACCAGGTGTTGTGGGCGACGTTGTTGTTGCGCAGAAGCAGTGCGAGCCGTGGTGTCACGATAGTCGCCTGGTATCTTATGAGGAAATTTTCATCCTCTTTCCATCCCACGGGAACCGAGCGCTGATGCTCATGAGGTGGGATTTCTCTCAGCAGTATTGGCAGGTGCCATTCTTGCTCGTCCTCATCTTCATAGTAGTAGTGGAGTTCTGTGAGGGGATTGTTATACCCCACTTCACGTTGGATTGGCTCGCCGGTGGGCTCTTCGTCTCCGTCGGGCGTAGTAGCTCGCGGGCGACGGCGTGTTGCCATATTTGCCATTACGTTTCTTGCTCCTCCTGTCTGAGTTGCCTGTCCCTGTTGTTGTTGTTGTTGTTGAGCAGGTGGACGGAGAGCTTTATGTTGTGGATGCTGCGGTTGTTGGCGAGCATCCAGTTTGCCGACCCAGTTGTTTTGGTGAGTGGAATTCTGGGGGCGATTGTTGAATCGGTACCTGCATCGGTCCGTTGAGTGCCCAAATATCTTGCAGAATTTGCAGTAGTGGCGCTGCAGAGTTGGACTTGCTTGAGTCCATGTCTTGCTGTTCTGTCAGAAGAGCGGCGCACAGGGCGGCTTTTGAGATTGCCCCCCTTTGTCGAAGCAGCGCTTTGCAGGGCTTCCACTCAGGCCCAAGTCCTTGGAGGACTATGTTCACGAAGATTTCCTCCGAGATTGCGCTTCCATGCTTCGTGATTTGATCGCGGATGTTCCGACAACGATTGATGTACGAATTCACTTTCTCCCCGTTCCCCATATTTGTCTCCATGAGTTGCTGCAGGAGCCTGCTGGAGGTGACTGAGTCCTTCGGCTGGTATACCTCGACGAGGTGCTTCCAGGCTTCCAAGGCTGGAGCGGCGCTCTCTTTGTAGGAGCGGATGCCGAGTTGCTCCGCGGGCGTCATATTCCTTAGCAGCACACTGTACGCCATGAGGGACTCGCTGTAGTACCGAGCCCGAGCGTCGTTGGTGTCTTCCACCGGTTTAGCATAGGAGCCGTAGAAGTAGTGGTAGATCTGCGCTGTCTGTAGGAGGAGCTCTAGCTCAAAACTCCATGTGTAGAAGTCCTTGCCGTTGAAGGCGGTAGTTGTCTTGATTTTCGAAACTCTGATAAAGCGTGCTTGCACAGAGTTAATTGTTTCATCACTTGGACGAGGGGTTGATGATGTTGATTTGTCTGTGTCGAGGGAGAAGGTGTGCGCGGCGGTATCACAGCTGTTTGTGGCCGGTTGAGCAGGTTGTGCTGGTTGCGAGGAGGTTTCCGCGTCTCCTTTGCGCAGTGCTTGGCGATCTTTCTCCATGGTTGATAATCGTTGAAAGAGCTGCTCGAGTGCGACAGTGCTGATCGTAGTTGTCGCCTCATTTGTCGCAGCTGGGTTGGCCTGTCCTTCAGCTGTTAGATTTGTTTGGCCTCCGGATCTTCCGGCCATTTTGGTCTCGGAACGTGTGCCGGTCGCCAGATCTTGGTTTGGCGATTTTACGGAATTGGGTTTGCGAAGAATCCCTGAGTTGCTCTGATACCATGTTACAATCCTAAACAGGACTTAGCGAAGGATCGTCTCAGGGTTGATCGCAGGTTGAGTTGTTGCAGCGGAAGTGTTGACCTCAGGTCAGAGTGAATGTAAATGACTGAGATGATAAAAGCATACATATATCGGGTTTGTATATGAAATACAAAGGAATGCGAAACGACCTAGGCTAGTCAAGTACTCTAAAGGGTACATTCTCTTGTTGCAGCGAAGTTCAAACCGTGCGGCGCGGGAACCCGTTTCAAACCTGTTCCCGCTCTTTTCATTTAAATGTTTCTGCCTGCATCGGTCTTGGTCTGACGGTTGCTGGTGTCGCTTCGACTCTTCTGACTCCTCGACTTCGTACTCGGTAGAGTCGGCTCCTGCAGCATACTGGAATGCCTTCTCATTGAATTTCATATCGTAACAAGTTTGGTTTGGGGCGAGGCAAGAATTAAGGGCGAATGAGCTGGCTTGAGCCAGGGTGTCTCGCTTTACTGCGCTGCACTTGTGGTCTATCTCTCTAGTGTATTACGGAAAGCGTGGAAGTTTATAAAGTGAAATGGAATTTGCAAAAGGAGATGAGCGTATGATAAAGGTCAGGATACATGCGCAATTTGAATAGTTTAGAATCTGGATGACACCGCATACTCCAGATTTTGACACAGATTATTGTGAAAACTCAGGGGCCCAGGGCCCCAGGCTCAGCATGTGTGCAATCTCAGACTCTTATTATTTAGCCAGATAAAAACAGCCCATCGGGCGCAACCTATGGTGATGAACAACTTGTTGGGTTCATTAAGGTAGTTGTTACACCATACGATCTATGCAGGCGTGCTTGCTTCATCTACGTATATTGATATCGTTAGTCAAACTTAGGCATGTTATAACCCCACATGACAAGCGACTTGTTTGGTTTTTTGAGCCACAATCTGTGATTGAATATGTCCATATCATCTGCCGTCACGCCCCCACATCGTGTCGACGCTGCTAAGAGGACATCGGCATAAGAGCACACAAGCTTGTCAAAGATTGCCACAACACCTGTGAGACGAAACAAAGAGGATTGAACGAGGTTGGAGGAGGGAGATGGGCACTTGTTCAGAAGCAACTAGAGCACCAAAATGCAGCCACACAACACAGGCTTGACAAGAATTGCCACCACACAGATATTAAATCCAGGGAAGAAAGGGACGACGAGTGGGACTGAGTAGTGAAAAAAAAAAAAAAAAAAAAAAAAAAAAAAAAACCTCGTTTTCCTACTGACTGGGATCAAAATTTGCGACGGTTGGCAGGAGCTCGTTGATCGTGACAGTGTCGTTGACTTGCGCTCGCATCCTCGTCAGCTCCTTAAGTGCCACATCAGCAACACCAGTGCCATTGCTGCTTTGGCTCCCGTTGCTCCCGTTGTTCCCACTGCTCTCACTGCCCTGTTTGCCCTGGATGGCAAACTGCTGCTCCAAATCCTTCCAGTGTCCAGACTCGCTTGTTGCTGCTGAAGGTCCAGCTTCTGCTACAGCTGCTACTGCTGCCACTGCTGCTATAGCTTCTGACACCCCTGCATCCAATGCACTTGCTCCTCTCCCCGCTCCTCCTCCCCCTCCTTCCCCTTCTCCTCCACTTTCTCCTCCTTCCCCTCCATCTCTCCACCCTCCACCCACTCTGCTTTTCCTCAACACATCAGCAGCAACCATCACGGTTCGAACCGATACCCACCCCCGAACCACGCTTGCTTTAGTCACGGACGCGTTCACACACCACTGCAGCTGCTGCTCAAACTGCCGCTGCACCTGCTGCTGCTGGTTCTTCGAGCCTGGCTGCTCCGAACCTGTCTGCTCCAAGCCTGGCTGTTCCGAGCCTGGCTGTCCCGAGGCTGGCTGTTCCGAGCCTTGCTGCTCCGAGCCTTCCTGCTGCCCTGCTGGCGCGTTTGCTCTTTGCTGCTCCGCTTCTCTTCTCTGCTTGGCATCACACGGAGGTGAGGAGAGGGGGGGAGTGGTGAGGAGAGGTGGGGGGAAGTGATTGAGATTGTTTTGAGGCCTTCTGAGATTGAATTCTGTGCTCCTTGCCGTTTCTAATGGGGAGAGGGGGGTGAAGGGGAGGGTGGAGGAGAAGAGAAAGTGAATTTTCAAAAACTTATCTAAAAGAGTGATACAGAGTGGGGTAAGTGGACAGCGGACAGGGTTCTTTCACCTTTGTTTCCAAGACTTACCACTCTCCACGCCATAACGTTGGGTTGCAAGTGCACCACCATCACAGTCTTATTCAGAGTACCGTTAATGCTTCGTAGTGAGTACATGTAGGTACCTACTATGTGTTATGGTGAGCAGATAACGCATCCCCTTTTCCTCCCTTGTGCTCCCTCTTTTCCCTCTTTTCCCCTCTTTCCCCTATGTCCCGTCTACCCCCTCGTTCCCCTTTCCCACCTTTTCCCCTTTCCCTCTCATTCCCCCTATTCCATCCTCCCTTCCCCCCTATACCCCCAACTCACCACTCTCCAAGCAATCACGTCAGGTTGCAAGCGCACGGCCATCACACTCTTATTGAGAGTGCCGAGCAGGCTTGTAGCGAGTACATGGAGCTGCCTGCTGTAGGGCAGAGAGTCCAAGGCGAGGCTGCCTGTGGGCGGGTCGAACTCGATCATGCCTGCTGCTGCCTTCACCCACACCACCACGTCTTTATCTTGCCTATGCAATTAAGGGGGGGAATGGGACATGGGACATGAGAAAGCAAGAGATGAGGAGTGGGACGAGTTCAATGTGAAGCTGCCTGTGGGTGGGTCGAACTCGACCATGCCTGCTGCTGCCTTCACCCACACCACCACGTCCTTTTCCTGCCTGTGAGGGTCAGAGCGTGCAACAGAGGGGGATCGGGGAATCAGTTTTGATGTGACACTGTAACAAGGTGACAATAATGAGACGACTCAAAAGTCGATGGCTTTCTGTTGCCTTGAGCCACATCATCACAGTCCTTGTCCTGCCTGGGTGGACACGACCACCAGGTGGGTAAGAGGGGAATGAGAAATGAGCTAAAGTGTTACAGTCGTAAAGTCATTTCTTCAGACTTTGTTGCATTCACATCGTTGCCTTGCCTTGGTGGATTAAAGAATAGCGTGCCTTGGAGAGTCACCATACCTGCATAGCAGCTTTGGACTCACCATACCTACAAGAGCACTACTGCGGTGCGGCTAAGGGCGCGTTGCATTTGAAATTTAGAATCAGAAAACGGGTCGAACGTGTGCTGGTTACCTGCGCCGTTAATGTCGCTGACTAACCATGCAACATTCGTGTCACGTTTGATCCTTGATATGAAAAGTCAAGGCAACACGTTGGAAGTCGACTCAACAATCGAACGTGCACACTCGCACGCATTTGAGCATGGTCACTTCTGGCCACGTTCAACGCCTGGACGAAATCACAAAGCATGGCGACGTCTACATTACAGATTTTGAGAACAACGCCAGAGCCACGTAGGTTATATTAGGTAACCTACTTGTTCTAGTCGCGAGGGTCGAATCTCGTTTTTCGACCCTCGATGTAGCATTCTGATTGACTGGAAATAGGCCACACGGTTCGAATCCCATAAAATCAAACAGTCGACTGAACAGTCGAACTTAGGAAACAGGTGAAAATCGATACCCAAAAAAAAAAAAAAAAAAAAAAAAAAAAATCAGGAATTGCGCCAAATGCAACACGCCCTAAGAACGGCGTAGTAGGGGAGTCAAGACCCTCCTGAATAGGCCGCTGCAAATCTTTGACGCACGTGAGAACTCTCAAAAGTTAGGATCCACAGCGCAAACAGAAAGCTGCATGTCGGGAGGTGCCTTTGGGTACCATACTTGCACTACAGGTTCGGGAGGTGCCTATGGGTTACCATACCTGCACTACAGGTTCGGAAGGTGCCTATGGATTACCATACTTGCGCTACAGGTTTGGGAGGTGTCTTTGGGTTACCATACCTCCACTGAACAGAATTTTCTCGGATTTATCAGACCTGCAAAACAGTAGGCTCGGACTCGCCAGGCCTGCATCAGCACGTGTACGGCATCTGCTTGCACTGGGAGGTTCAGGTCAAGCGGTGTCGTTCAGCTTCCCTGGCAGCACATACTGTAGGCTCGGACTCACCAGGCCTCCATAAGTGTTGCACAGGATCGGCTCGCACTGGGAGGTGCAGGTAAAACAATGTCCTTCAGCTTCCCTTACAGCATATACAGTCGGCTCGGACTCACCAGGCTTACAAAGGACTCACCAGGCTTACAAAGGAGGCTCGGACTCACCAGGCTTACAAAGGACTCACCAGGCTTACAAAGGACTCACCAGGCTTACAAAGGAGGCTCGGACTCACCAGGCTTACAAAGGAGGCTCGGACTCACCAGGCTTACAAAGGAGGCTCGGACTCACCAGGCCTTCAAAGGAAGCTCGGACTCACCAGGCCTGCATGAGCACTTGCACGGCGTCAGCTCGCACTGGGAGGCGCAGGTCGAGCGTGTTGGAGGGGAGAGGCACGTGGCCCATGGCGTATGGCAGTAGATGGCCCATTATGGACGCGAGGGGCTCTGGAAGTGACAGGGGAGGGAAGGGGGGGGAGGTGGGGGAGGGCGGGCAAAGGAAGGAGATGAGAGTGTTGGACGGGAGAGGCCTATACGTACAGGTGGATACAATGGAAGGAACTCTCACCACAGACGAAGCAGGTGAATACAAGGCAAGGCACTCACCATGGAGAAAGGGGGCTTGCTGGGCGTGCCGCGACTGCACCCACACGAAGCCCACCGCGGGGCTTCTCAGCCCAGCAACACCCGAAATATCTGAACTGGAATCCGAGCCACTGGTATCAGAGCCGTTGGTTGGGGGAGAGGCAGCAGCAGCAGCAGCGCGGGCGAGCAGCAGGAAGAGGTCCGGCGACATCCAAGCCACGTGGGGCAGGCTCGGCAGCACTTCGGGCGACTGAGAGGCTTGGGAGGCGTTGGAATGGTTCTTCTCAGGGCTGTCTTTGACGCTGGGGACGGCATTGACCTTCGGCGTGGCGGCGTGGGAGAGGTTGAAGAGGTCCCAGTAGGCGCAGAGGGGCAGGGGATGGGCGAGAGAGACGTGACTGTCGCCCACCTGAAGGAAAATGGTGAAAACGAGGGGGGGAGAGGGAAGGAATTGGGGCAGGGAATGTGGTCATGTGAGGGCGTGGCGACCTGGGAGATATTGAAGATATTCCAGTAGGCGCAGGGGGGGAGGGGATGGGCGAGAGAGACATGGCTGTAGGCACGACAGCCACGTGGCAGGCGTAGCATCAAAGCACGACAGCCTGGGAGAAGAGGAGGGGTGCCAGTAGGCCCGGAGTGGGGGAGGATATTTCGATTTGGGGGGTGGAGGTGGAGGAGAGGCAAGGAATTCTTGAGGCGGACGAGATTTGGGGGAGGGCTAAAAAGTGATGTCTCGTGATTAAGAAGAGGGAAGGACGAGAAGCATGGTGGAGGGAAGGGAAAAAGGCAACGGAGGTGGCGCAGTTCTGGTTTATTTTGGTGCGTGTGGATTGCAGCATGGGTGCATGCATGTGCCAGCTATCTGACCTTGGGCAGAACCAGAATGCGGCCGGACATGCGGGCTATCCTCGCTGCCTCCTCCACATCCATCCGCGCGAGGGTGGTTGGTTTGCCTGAGAAGCCAAGCACCAGGAAGCGCGGGCGAGAGGGGCTCTGCGATGGGTTGGTTGGGTTGGGAGCAGGGGAAGGAAGATGGGCAGGGGGTATTAGGCACATCAGCAGCCTAGCTTGGGTGGTGTGCGAGACTGAGAAGTCAAAAACCCGAAGGCGAGGGCGAGAGGGGCTCTACTGTGCGGGGAACAGGGGTGGGGGGAAACGGGGGGAGAGAGGAGAGAGGGAAAGGTGGGTGGTACAGGCGAGGGTGAGTTGCTTGCTTGTCTGAGAAGCCAAACACCAGGAAGCGAGGGCGAGAGGGGCTCTGCTGTGGGTTGGGGACAGGGGTGGGGGGAGAAGGGTGGGGGGAGAGGGAAAGGTGGATGGTGTGGTACAGGCGAGCGTGGGTGGTGTGCTGGTGTGTGAAGCCAAAGACAAAGAAGAAGGGCCGAGACACGGCCTGTAGCACACACAGGGGAGACGGGTGGGGGAAATGGGGGGAGAGTGGAAAGAGGGAAAGATGGGTGGTCAGTCGGACACATCAGCAGGAGAGCATGGTTGGTGTGCGAGGCTCTCAAGCCAAACACCAGGACACGAGAGCGAGAGACGCTCTGCTGTGAGGGAAAGAGGGGTGGAGGGAAAAGGGGGGGAAAGAGAGAAAGGTGGGTGGTACAGGCACGCGCTGTGAATGTGCTGGCCTGGGAAGCTCAGCACCAGGACGTGAGGGCAAGAGGCTCTCTGTGATGGGTTGGTGGTGCGGTGGTGGCGAGCGACGTTCAGAGACAGCAGGAGAGCATGTGTGCAGAGGCGCTCTGCATGAGTTGGGTTGGGTTGGGTTGGGGCACAGGAGGGAGGGAAGAATGGAACAGCAGGTCACACGCACGGGACGAGCATGGGTGGTGTGCTAGCAGTGGATAGGCATGAGTGGTGTGCTAGCAGTGGATAGGCATGGGTGGTGTGCTAGCAGTGGATAGGCATGGGTGGTGTGCTAGCAGTGGATAGGCATGGGTGGTGTGCTAGCAGTGGATATGCATGGGTGGTGTGCTAGCAGTGGATAGGCATGGGTGGTGTGCTAGCAGTGGATAGGCATGGGTGGTGTGCTAGCAGTGGATATGCATGGGTGGTGTGCTAGCAGTGGATAGGCATGGGTGGTGTGCTAGCAGTGGATAGGCATGGGTGGTGTGCTAGCAGTGGATAGGCATGGGTGGTGTGCTAGCAGTGGATAGGCATGGGTGGTGTGCTAGCAGTGGATAGACGAGAAAGAATCAGCAGGAAGCGGGGGCGAGCGGCGCTCTGCAGTGGATAAGGCAGGGGTGGGGTGGGGTGGAGGTCTGGCTAGGAGGGTTGCGGACAGGCCAGCAGCCGAACATGGGATTGTCGCTCTGCTCTGCCTCTGCTCTGTTTGGCTGCGAGTGACGCCCAAAGGCAGGAAGCGAGGGCGAGAGGCGCTCTGCAGTGGGTTGGGGGCAGGGGTGAGGTGGAATTATGGCTAGGGGGGTTCATACAGGCCAGCAGCCGAACATGGGATGGGTGGTCTGCTCTGCCTCTGCTCTGCTTGGCTGCGAGTGACGCCCAATGGCAGGAAGCAAGGGCGAGAGCACTCACGTACGTGTGAGAGGGAGATAGGCACTCCTAGACTGGTCACGGTGGTGGGGGTGGGAAGCAGGACACACTTGTCTCTGACAGGGAGAGCGGCGCGGGGGGCAGCAGCACTCACGTACGTGTGAGAGGGAAAGAGGCACCCCGGGAACCGGCCAGCAGCTTTCAGGCCACTGCTTGCATTTCTCTTGGCTCCTGCCACTCCCACCATGCCCACCCGCCCCGCCACTCTCGCCACTTCCGCCATTCCCACCACTCCCACCACTCCCACCACTCTTATCGTCTGCACCACTCCCGTCGCCCCCGTGACAGCCGTCCGCCTGCCCTCCTCCCACCAGACGCCTCTCCACCTCCTTCACCCCCCCACACACTTCGTCTATACCCGCCTCAATGCCCTCTACCCCTGTCACATTCGCCGCTACAGCCGCTCGGATGTAGCTGCTGCCGGCAGCTCGTGCCAGCACGCCACGTTTCCAATCCTCGGAACACACCTGCCCCACCGAACCTGCCTGCTGCTCCGCCACGTCAGCCTCGGTCGGAGGCCCGGTGTTGTTCTTAATAGGCCCGGTGGTTGGCTCGGTGGTGTTGCTAATTGCCGCCGTGGGTGGCTCGGTGGCGTTGTTAGCCTCGGATTTAGACTTGGTTACTTGCACCTTATCCTCCTCCCCCTCCTGCCCCCCCTGCTCCCCCTTCTCCGCCTGCTCCCCCTTCTCCGCCTGCCCCTCCTGCTCCCCCTTCTCCGCCTGCTCCCCCTGCTCCCCCTTCTCCCCCTTCTCCGCCCCCGCCTGCTCCCACTGCTCCCCACTCGCCCCCTGTGCCACCTCCGCCTGCTGAGCGCGAAGGGCCAGCCGTCGAAAGGCCTCGAGGAGGCGTGTTCGACACGCGTCTAACTCCGCCGCACTTCCGCCCCCGGATCGACCTGCTGCCGTGCTGCTACCAGCGCCATCGGATATCTTCGTGGCGTTTGAGTCGGCGAAACTGTTGTTACCGGCGAAATCAGGAAAACTGTTGTCGGCCCTTTCGCGAAGGAGGCGGAGGCAGGAATAGGAAATGCCGAGGAGGCTTATAACGGATACGTCGCCGTGAGATGAATCTCCGAGCCGAGAGGTAGTAGCGACGAGGGGAGTAGCACTAATCGAAACACTAGTGGCGCTGCTGCTGCTGGTACTACCAAAAATAGTACTGCTGATACTACTGTCGTCAATTAGCGCGCTCGGTGCTGCTTCGTTATGGGCTTCCTCGATAACAGCGGTGTGCGGCAGACGGAAGGAGACGGGGAACTCGAGGAAGAAGATGACGTGGCAGGCGAGGAAGAGCGCGACGACGACGACGGCGGGCTTGTGAATGGCGGAGGAGAGGAACGAGGGGACGAGCGATGACGGGAGGGACGACGGGAGGGACGAGGGGAGGGACGAGGGGAGGGACGAGGGGAGGGACGAAGGCAGGAATGACGGCAGAGCTGGGAGGGACGAGGGATGAAATGACGGGAGGAAGGAAGGCAGGAGGCTGGGAGGGTGGGTGTGAGGTCTCTTGGTGAGAGACGTCGTCTCGCCCGTCGCATGGGTCGCCCGTGCGACGGATTCACCGTCGCTCGCGTCCATTTCGCTGCGACGGAACGCGGGACGAGGCCAGTAAGCAAAACGGTCTCGATCCGGACTACGGCAAGCGGCACTACAGTTCACCGACGGTCTAGCTGTTGAGTCGACTCAAAAGCACCATTCGATCGACGAAAAGCGGCACTACATTCCGACGGTCTGCGGCATTACAGAGCTCGACTGGTGCCTAGTTTGCTTTCACTACTCTCAAAAGCGACGATAAAGAGGCACTACAAACTGACAGGAACCAGCACTCGGAGTCTCGGACCGACGGGTTTGCGGCCTAGAATACGGTTATGGAAGCTTGTCTGGTCTCTGGTTTGACATAGAATGCGAAATCTGCGTCGTGTCGCATCCCCACGACAGCAGGACCCTACAGCATAACTGTCAGTAAACGATCAGCTGACTACTACTAACATTCCCGTCCAGTCCAGTCCGGACTCCCGTGCGATGCCACACGGGCTGTGTTTGGTTCACGAAGCAAAGTTTTCTCGCATCCTCGATAGCCTTGCTTGCTTCCATGAAATCCCCATGTCGGAACAGAAGCGCGGGTAAGATGAGTGCCTTGTAAGTTGTAGCCCACCTGTCTATTCTTGACAAGTCCTGTCCTGTGGAATGAATGGAGTGACGATTTGGCGTGTGCACCGCACTGCTGTCAGGAGCTGTCAGAGGGGTTGTCAGACTCGGTATAGCATGTACGTACAAAGGTTTGAAATAACTATGGGGCATTGGTGGGTTTTATGCTCCTTGATTCACCCACATTGGCACCATTTTCTCCAGAAACATGAAAAACGTTCTGAAATAATATGATTTAAGGGCTCTGAAGAGTTAGGGCGTGTATCTTTTGGTGTAGAAGTTCGGAAAAAAGGTCGACTTTTTGCTGGTAACCGTCTTCGTGAATTTCGTTTAACCTTGTTTGCGACGTTCGTGTGTCCTTGGAAATGTTTGAGAAAACGTAGGACACTGAACGGGAGTCGACCTCGCTTTCGAATTTCCACGTCCACGTTTTTCCAATCGTGTGTTGCTCTGCTCACGCAAGAAACAGCTGCGAAATTTGCGATAGACACGAACTGCATCGTGACGAGTTACCGAAGCCAGATTCGGTCACGACCTCAATTTTATAGACCGGATAACTTACGAAACTTAGGCGCGGCTCGGAATTTACTGTATAAAGTCGAACTTCGAGAGTCGAACTTTGTTGTGCCTGCCAAACTGTGTTTCCATCTCTGTAGGCTATCTGGTGGGGCAGCCCCGGTGGCGGAGCTAGCCGTGCTAGAGCTGGAGGTGCTGGTGCTGGCGGTCCTCGTACTCATCGGCAGGAGACGCTCTCGTCGCAGCAGCTTCGCAAGAGGACTGTCTGGTAGGGCAGCCCCGGTGGCGGAGCCTAAGGTGCTACTACTGGAGGTACCTGTGAGTCTACTCCTGCTAGTAGTGCCGCTGGTAGACGCGGAGGTTCTGGGGGTGGACAGCAGCAGCAGCAGCGTCCGCTGGAGACTCTCTCCTCGCAGCAGCTTCGTGAGTGGGCTGTCCGGTGGGGCAGCCCCGGTGGCGGAGGGTACTCCTACTGGGGGTGTAGAGACACCTGGTGGCGTAGAGACTGCTAGTCTTAATGCTTTTGACTCAGCTAGCGCAGGGGCAGAGCCTGAGGAGGCCTTGCACACTTTTACCCTAGACTCAGGCGCGTCTCGCTGCTTCTTCCGCGACAGCACCACAGTCACACCGCTCACAGCCCCTGTCCCTGTCACACTGGCCGACCCCTCCGGCGGTCCGGTAGTCGCGCGTGGCGCTACTGTTCTCCCGTGTCCGGCGGCCCCTTCCGACCTCCTCACAGGTCTCCACCTCCCCTCGTTCGCTAAGAACTTGGTGGCTACCTCTGTCCTCCAGGACCAGTGGGTCACTGTCACCCAGCATGGAGGAGAGCTTGTGGCGATCTGTACGGACTCACGCACTGGCGAGCACCTCGCCACGTTCACTCGGAGGCCCGGGTCTGGTTTGTACACACTGACTACTGAGTCTGCACTGGTGGCTGAGTCAGGTCAGGTAGTTGCGTCGGTTGAGGTCACTGCGTCTTGTTCGTGCCGTCTCCTCACGCACCAGACTCTCCTCTGGCACCACCGTCTTGGCCACCCCTCCTTGCCACGCCTGCGTGGCATGCACTCCCGTCTCCTTGTGTCTGGTCTCCCCAGGTCCCTGCCCCCACTTCCGAGGTCGCTTGTACCGCCCTGCCTTCCCTGCGTCGAGGGGCGGCATCGCGCCGCTCCTCACTCCTCCTCGTTTCCTCCTACCACTACTCCTCTGCAGACCCTCCACATGGACGTGTGGGGCCCCGCCCGCGTCACTGGACAGGGTGGCGAGCACTACTTTCTGCTCGTTGTTGACGACTACACGCGCTACACCACGGTCTTCCCCTTGCAGAGCAAGGCGGAGGTTCGCAATGTCTTGATCCGCGCTGTCCGTCTAGAGCTTAGCGCTCGGTTCCGGCAGGACCTTCCGGTCCTGCGGCTGCACTCTGACCGAGGTGGTGAGTTTTCCTCCCGCCTTCTCGAGGACTTCTGTGGTGCTGAGGGCATCCGCCAATCGTTCACGCTTCCGGCCTCTCCACAGCAGAATGGGATTGCAGAGCGCTGCATCGGCTTGGTCATGGAGGTTGCTCGCACTTCCATGATCCATGCGGTTGCTCCCCGTTTTCTGTGGCCGTTTGCGGTCCGATACGCCGCGCATCAGCTCAACCTCTGGCCCCGTGTCTCCGTGCCGGAGACCTCGCCTACACTGTGTTGGACGGGGGTGGTTGGCGATGTGTCAGAGTTTCGGGTCTGGGGTTCCCTCTCTCTTGTCCGCGATCTACCTGCGGGCAAGCTCTCTCCGCGCACTCTTCGGTGCGTGTTCCTTGGCTTTCCCACCGACGCACCGCCCTGTCAGTTTTACCACCCGGGCTCTCGTCGTGTGCTGTCCTCCCGCGACGTCACTTTTGACGAGTCAGTCTGCTTCTACCGTCTTCACCCCCACCGCAGTTCCCCTGTACCCCTCCCGCCTCTCTCCCTGGTTGTCGACCCCCCCCCCACGTAGGCCCCCTCCCTCCTCCCGGTCCTGCTCCCTCAGGTGTGTTTCAGGTAGACCCGCCCCCCTTGGTTGAGCCTTTGGAGGTCTCCTCTGACACCTTTGGCCCAGCTGAGGGGGGTGACCCGACTGCTGCCGACACCGTGGCCCCTCGCCGCTCCGCGCGCTTGGCGGTCCCTCCTGGTTTTCCGCCTCGACCGTCTTCACCACCTCTGCGGCCTGTCGCTGTGGACTCTGGTGCTGCTGGAGGTGGTGACACTGGGGGTGCGGACTCTGAGGGTGCTGGCTCTGGGGGTGCTGCGAGTCCTACGGGTACAGGGGGTGCTGGAGGTGCTGCTGCTGGAGGTAGGTGCTGGTGGTGCTGGTGCTGGTGCTGGTGGTGCTTGTGTACGCCGGCAGGAGACTCTCTCGCCGGAGCGGCTTCGCGAGTGGGATGTTCGTTGGGGCAGCCCTGGTGGCGGCGCTAGACGTACTGGAGATGGGGGTCCTGGAGGTACTGGACCTGGAGGTGCTAGTGCTGGTGTTCCTGGAGTTGGCCGTGCTGGAGGTACTGGTGCTGGAGGCACTGGTGCTACTGGAGGTACTGGTTCTGTGGGTGCTGTTATGGGTGGTACTGTCTCACGTCGACAGGAGCCTCTCTCGCCGGACCGGCTTCGCGAGTGGGCTGTTCGGTGGGGCAGCCCCGGTGGCGGAGCTGGACGTGCTGGAGCTGGAGGTACTAGTGGTACTGGCCCTGTAGGTGCTAGTGCTGTTGTTCATGGAGTTGGAGGCACTGGCGGTACTGACGCTGGAGGTGCTACTGGAGGTAGTGGAGTTGGTGGTGCTAGTCGGCAGGAGTCGCTCTCGCCGCAGCAGCTTCGCGAGTGGGCTGTCCGTTGGGGCAATCCCGATGGTGGAGCTGGAGGTACTGGTTCTGGGGGTGCTGTTCCTACTGGGGCTCGAGGTTCTGGGGGTGTGACTACTCAGCCGCAGTCGTCTGCGCTTCGTCACCTTCTCAGTCTCCTGCCTGCTGCTACTGAGTTCCCGGTTGCTGGTACTACTCCTCCGTTACTGTTACCACCGACTGATCAGTCTCGGCCACAGCTACTGCCTGGCTCCCCGCTGCCTGCTCCTGCTCCTCACACTGTGGTGACTGAGTCCCTGACTGAGCGTCGTGAGCTTGAGACTCGTGCGTCCACACCTATTTGTGCTCGTCGTGTTGCCCGTCCTCGTGCTCCAGCTGTGCCAGGCACTCACCGTATTGCACTTCGTCAGTCCTCTGTTTCACAGCGTGTTGTCCTGCCGTCGCCTCCTGCGTCTTCTCTTCCTCACGTTCCTGACCCTGAGTCTGACCTTGTCCGTACTGCCAGTCCGACTGTCACTCGTCTCCTTTCCACGGTTATGACCGACCCTTCCTTTGAGTCTGCTGCTGCGTCTGCCTTAGTTGCTGAGCTTGTTGACTTTGCTGCTTTGTGCCGTCTTGTTTTTGACTATTCCTGTCCTCCGTCCGTCGGGGGTGAGCTTGCCCTTGGCTGTGACGTCCTTGAGGACAGGCAGTTTGAGCTGGAGTGCCTAGCGGCCGCTGCACCTCATCTCGCGTCCATGCTACTTTGCCCTGAGGGAGACCCGGATGCACTGGACATCCCGACCCCGCGTTCTTACGCAGACGCGATCACGGGTCCGTACTCCTCTCAGTGGCAGATAGCCATGGACGCAGAGATGGCTTCCTGGAAGTCCACAGGCACCTACGTCGACGCAGTCCCCCCACCTGGGGCGAACATAGTCGATGGCATGTGGATTTTTAGAGTGAAGCGGCCGCCGGGTTCTCCGCATGCCTTCAAGGCGCGTTACGTTGCACGAGGCTTCAGTCAGCGTGAGGGGGTAGACTTCTTCCAGACCTTCTCCCCCACCCCGAAGATGACCACTCTTCTGGTGCTACTGCACGTTGCAGCACGGTGCGACTACGAGCT